CATAACAACAATTGTCAGGATGGCACAGGACCAGGCAGTGTTTCGTTCTGTTGTACAGAGGGTCACTATGAGTCGGAAGCGACTCGACAGCACCTAACAACAACATTCAGCATCGACCTTGTAGACAAAGATAACACACTGAAGCGGGAAAGGGCATAAGATGGAAAGAATCTGTGATCCTGAATGACCAAATGGATCAAAGCCAATTTGAACTAAGACAGAAATAAATTACAGTATGTTTTTGGGCCTCTTTATAACTGCAAAGGATCGCTGGTGGTGCAGTGGTTTAAGGTCTCAGCTGCTAAGCGAGAGGTCAGTAGTTCAAACTCAACAACCAAAAGGTTGGCGTTCAAACCCACCAGCTAGCTTCTGGGTGGGAGAAAGATGTGGCAGTCTGCTTCAGTAGAGATTACAGCCCTGGAAACCTCATAGGAGAGTTCTACTCTGCCCTATAGGATCGCTATGAGTCAGAATTGACTCCACCACAACAGGTTTGGTTTTTAGTTTGGTTTTGTAACTGCAACTTAGCTTTCACGTAACTAATATGACATTATTGAAATTGAGGTCTTAGAATGGAATTAAAGAGCCCTCAAATGATACATCTCTGTTTAATATAAACCTTTCTTGGTTTCTAAAGACATTCTGTTTTAAAGGCAACAATACAATTGTTGTATCCAGAGAGTCTACACAAGAAGGAATGACAAAGTCAGCAAAGGAACGTTACAATTTTTTTCAAAGAAAATCAATCTAATTATATTAAAAATGGATGGTCCTTGAAAATTATCAACACTCAAACCAGTTTTACTAACAAATGTCTTCAGCCACCATAGCTACAGGAGAGAGCAGAAATTCTTAATTTCAAGCACTTTTTCTTTTGAGCGAAAGTCAAGGAGGGATCTCTGTGTTGGTTCTCTAACAAACAAAAATGAGTTTTATATGATTTCCAGTAATTTAAATACCTGGGGTTTTTTCCACTAACAAAGAGAAGACTTGTTCATGCTTTGACTATATTTGAACTCTGAGTAAAAATTCCACCTCCCTTCCCAAAATAATGTTGTATCCATGGCTTATGCTATATCAAAAGTGAATTCCAGAGAGATTGAAGACTTAAGTGTAAATGATAAGAAGTTAATAAAATAAAATGTAAGAGGTCATCTTTGTAGCCTATGAGTGGATAAAGAGTTTCTGATGCTAAATCTTCATGTCACGGTGTGAATATTGGATGGGCTTAATTACATGAAAACAAAAGACTGTGGTTCAATGAAGGATACCATACATAAAGTTAATAGACCAGAGAAGATATCAGCAATATCTAAAGCCAAAGGAGATCAATATATAGAATGCCAGCTAAAACTGTTGCCAACAGGTCGATTCAGACTCATGGTGACCCCATGTGTATCAGAGTAGAACTGTGCTCTATTGGGTTTTCAATGGCTGATTTCTTAGAAGTAGATCACCAGGTCTTTCAGTCTCTGGGTGGACTTGAACCACCAACCTTTTGGTTAGCAGCAAAGTGGTAACCGTTTGCACCATCCAGGGACTCCCAAAATAGACCCCCTCCCCGCAGGTAAAACAAAAACAAATCAAAAAACAATCTCTGTAAATCAACAAGAAAAAAATGCAATACCTGATAGAAAAATGGGCAAAGGGTTTGAACAAGTAAATCTCAGGTGAAGCCCAGATGTCTAACAAGTATGTGAACACTATTAACAACAAAAGAACTGAAAGTTTAAACATTAATGAGAGTCCACATTGCCCATTACAATGGCAAAAGTTAGAATGATAGATAATAACAAGTGTTAGGGAGGATGTGAGAATGACAGAAATTATTAGGTACTGCTGCAAGTAATATAAACTAGTCCAGTGGAAAGTAATCTAACAGTACTGGGGAAATTAAGTATGTAAATATCCTATGGATCCAGCAGTCTGACTTCTGGGTATATATTTCAGGGACACTCACATTCAGATCATAAGAGAAACATGTACCTGAATTTACTGGTATTATTTGTGATGTGGAAGTTAGAGACAATATTCATTATTAGAGGAATGGATAATTAAAATGAGATGGAGGCATACTATGAAAATATTATGCAACTATATGGTGCAGTGGTTGAGAGCTACAGCGAGCTACGGCTGCTAACCAAAATGTCGGCGGTTCGAATCCACCAGCCGCTCCTTGGAAACTCTATGGGCCAGTTCTACTCTGTCCTATAGGGTCGCTATGAGTTGGAATCAACTCCATGGCAACAGGTTTTTGTTTTGTCTTAATCTAAAACAACAAACTGAATGTACATAGAGCAGCTCTGATAAATTTAAAACACAGGTTGTTGAGTATTTATAGCACCATCCCACTTACCAAAACATTTATACCCACACAAAACATGATATATTTTCCAAAGGATATACTAAACATGTTGTAGTGATTGTCCTCTGCAGGATATGAGTAGGTGGGAAATGGGGATTAAGGGAGAAAAATAAAACTGAATAAAGTTTTGTAGGTACTGACAATGCTATACTAAAATAAAGGAGCATAATTAATTCAATTCTGCATCTGAATTTTAAATACACACACGCACACATACACACATAACCTATTCCTCCTAAAATCTTTGCAGCACAATATTCCAGCAAACCACATCTGCCATGGGGACACTGGAGTAAAACTATCTAATCTTTTTTGTGGTTGTTGGCTGCCGTCCGATACCAACTCACGGGGACCCCGTATGCGCAGAGTAGAACTGTTCCATAGGGTTTTCAAGGCTGTGACCTTTTGGAAGTATGTTGTCAGGCTTGTCTTCCCAGGCGCCTCTGCGTGGGTTCGAACCACCAACATTTCAGCTAGTAGTTGAACGCTTAACCATTTGCGTCACCGAAAACTTTTTTTTATTACACTGAGGGTTCCCACTGGGGCCGATTTTGCTCCACCCTCACCCCCAGAGGACATCTGGCAATATCTGGAGACATTTTCGACCGTCATAACCAGGGGGTTGGGGGGGAGTGCTATTGGCATGTAGCAGGTAGAGGTCAGGGATGCTGCTAAACATCCTACAATAAACAGTCGCACCCCCTCCCCCCAACAAAGAACTATCCAGTCCAAAATGTCAATAGTGCCAAGGTTAAGAACCCCTACACTATTTCAGCCTTACCTGTTTACTTCTGTGGTCTTCAGGAAGCTGTCATTCAAGCGACCAAGAGGCTCCATTCTTCCTCACATTCCCTATTGTTGTTAAGTGCCTTAGAGTACTTTTTGACTCATAGTGACTCCACCTGACAGAACAGAACTGCCTCATAGGGTTTTCTAGGCTGTAATCTTTACAGATGCAAATCGCCAGGTCTTCCTCCCACGAACGAGAGCGAGTGAGAGCGAGAGCGGCTAGGTGGGTTCCAACCACCAGCCTTTCTGTTACTGTTGTCCCACCAGGATTCTCCCTACTTTCTTCCCATCTTCCTCTTCCACTCTTTTTTTTTTTTTGCAAAGCACAACCTACTCTCTTAGGATGCCACACTCCCTTTGCTAGTCATGAATTTACTCAAATATCACACTTATTTCTAATTGTTCATATAAAGACTGAATGGGATAAACTGCTAGTGAGACTTCAATAATTAAAGAAAAATTGACAAAATGCCTCTCACTTCTTTTCCCTTAACAGAGCTGTTCCTTAGCAGACTCATCTTTTAAAATATGAAGTCCATTCAACTTCAAATTCATTGAGGGCCTCTATTAAATCTCCACGAATTTGGTGAAGAAAAGAAAGAAGGTAACAGGTTTCCTAGGAGAACAAAAGTTAACAACAGTTAAAAAGAACAACTGAGCCAGACGGGGTCAGAAGTTCAGTTTGGGATGGCAAGCACAGAGGGACAAACTTGGTAGGGGAGCTTGAGCTTCTACAATTGGAGGTTTGGGGCTAGGGTCCCACATTGAAAGCAGGAAAGGAAAGAGAGGACAGAGGCACTCTTTAAAACTTTTTAAACTGAACGCCAAAATTCTCAGAGCAACAGAATGGGTCTAATCTGTACAAGGTGGGATTTAAGTTTAAAGGAAAGGGAAATTTTTCAGATAATGGAGATTGTTAAACGTTGAAATTGAATCTTGTGAATCTCCTGCTTTCTTGGTCTTCGTTATTTTTTAAAGGGGGTCGATATTCAGGAATATAGTCCCATTTAGGCTAGAGACCAGATTTCTTAGGAGCTGTGGTTTGTTTTCATGTACAGTGAAACCTGTGAGAGCCGGAGCTCGACAGGACTGCCTTGTTTTTCCGGGTCTCGCAAGTTTTCCACTTTTGACAAGGTACAGTCTTACAGCTTTTCTGTTGCTCGTTTTAGTGGAAAATATTTGAATTTTCCTTCTCTGACAGGTTTCCGCCTTACACAGGTTCTGGCTTTCACAGTTATTACTGTATTTTCCTTGAAGTTTTATCAGCTGGCATTTGATATCCGTCCCTGGGGCACTCACATCCCCTCCTGAGTGCTCTTGAGTATAAATTATCCCCAAAAGGCATGTTATTCCTTTTTTCAGTATACCCTGGTTTTTGTTGGTGGTGGTTTTATTGTGTTTGTTTTGTTTTTAACAGAAGAAAGAAAAAGTTTGGAAGTCTCTAAACAGAAATTATCCTTCTTAATTTTATTTAGTCCGAACAGTAGAAATAAAAGTATGTTCAGATCGCAAAGCAGTGTTTTTCCTTCTCCAGATTTAAAAAGAAAAAAAATTACTAGAAATTATCTGGACTTGAATATAAAATATCTTTAAAAAAATTAAAAGACAAGAAGGGAATATTTGGCACATTTGCACGTTATTTTAGGATGTGTCCTCACTCCCGATACCCAGGAATTAAATCAGCCTGTAACTGTCCTTTAGAAACCCTACTGTCTCTTTAACAAACTGAAAGTGAGAAGGGGGTGGGCCTCTGGAGCTTCGGAGGCTTTGATGGGTTCTGCTGGCAGGAAGTGGGCGGTGAAATCGCCTTTTCTGTTATTGTCCGCGTCTGCTGGGTGAGAGACTGGGCCGGGTTAGGCTGCCTGAAGACTTTGAAGCCCTGCTTGCTTCATATCGCGGGCGTGGGAGTGTGGGGTGCAAAACGGGTCCCCTTTTATCCCGGTGCGTGCGGGGCCCTAGCAGCCTTTTCGCGGTGGTGCTGCGCCCAGGGGCTGGGCCACGATGGGCCGGGCCACGATGGGCCCAAGGTCCACTGGGACCGCTGAGGCCGCCCGGTGGCCTTGGAGCTGGAGGGAGAGTGTTGCCCGGGTGCCGGCCGCCTCCCTGTCAGCTCCCCCAACACCCCCATCTCAACCTGGGTTTTCTTTTTCCCCTGTTCTGCAGGCTCGCTTCCGGCGTCATGGCTCAAAGGGCCTTCCCGAATCCTTATGCCGATTATAACAAATCCCTGGCCGAAGGCTACTTTGATTCTGCCGGGAGGGTGAGTTTGGGATATATCTGCCTCCATCCCCACCTCCCCTCCAGTGTTCAGAGAAGATCTTGATTTTGCCTGAAAGGGATGAGCATCCCTTTTAAAAATATATATGATTCGGGGAAAAATATATAAAGTACATATTAAAATATGCAATTGGAACTCTGGCATTATGTTGAATTTCTGAGACAATCAGTCATCGTTAATATTATTGTTAATAGTTGAGGGAATAACCTTAGCCATTGTTAATATAAATTGTAAAAATTGGTAGATATACAGCTCACCGTGTAATTTTGGATTTTCCATCTATTTTGATTTGCTTCTTAAAGAGAACTGAGGAATCCTAACAGTAGTCACATGTATTCCTTTATGGATTGTACAAGTTTATAGAAGTGCAGACATGGACAGGAGTAAACTGAGGTGGGTGGTATGGACATCCTTAAAAGGAAGATGGTAAATTTAAGACATAGGCCTGAAATCTACTGTACCATTGACACTCTTCTCAGAACATCCCCACAGCTTAAAAACTAGAAAATTAAACT